TTTTGTTCAGAAAAAGAGGACAAATTATGCATCAAAAGTAAGTGAAAAACATTTATTTTTTGCTGCTGGTGGTTTTGTAAGCTGTGAGGATGGTAATGCTTTGAAAAAAAAGAGGATTTATTTGCTTTTGTCATGTGTTGGTTGTTCGTTGGTGGGGATTTGCTTCATGTCCCCCAGTTGTGATTCATATTGCTGATTATTAATTTGGAAATATTTGTCCAGTTTGGATGTTTGCTGAGGACCTGTCCAAGTATGATGGACATGCTGGATTTTATATCTCAAATATTCATTTTTGATGATATTGTTACCAAACTTGAATTGGTAATATTTGGGAATCTATATTTTAGCCCAGAATYTTTTCTTTTTAATCTCTCCTTCCTGTTCTGGGACACTTTAAAAATCTTTAAGTGAGAAAAAAAGTATGGTTTTATTGTATTTTAACTTCAATAACGATATACTAGTTACAGTTACAAAAATAATGAATGCTGAAGTTAAAAATGCAAATTYATAGGTTTACATAGAGATCAGTTGTGTGAATTTCCTCCAAAGGGTTCTTAATTTAATCCGGGTATGATTTTTAAGGAAATTTAGGCTAACAGGGTAAACCTAGAAAAAACTTTAAACTATATCATTTTATTTTTAAAAATAATTTGTAATTTCTTTCATAGYATTTTTATTAAATCTTGTATACTTTTTACTTGAAAATCTGAGTTTTTCTTTTCTGAATATACAATATTCAAGCTTTTGGGTTAATAAAATAAACAGAGCTGTTTTTTTCCTAAAATATAGTTACAAAGTTAGCACTTGAAAGGCTGCAGCATCTTGATTATAAAATCTACTCACTCAGGGAGTTCCTGACAATTACCAATCCTGCAGAGACAGCGCTCCACATCTATGCACTTTTTTATTTTATCTATTTTTTTTACTTATCTGTCTCTCTTTGAAGATAACCGCTTATAAAATTCTTCACTATATATGTCTTCTGGACAGCTTGTCTAATAWATGGGTCCCCCTTTTTTGAATCCAGCACCCACAATGACAAGCCTTCCTTGCTTGGGACATTATCCAATTAAAGAGGAATCAGCAGGGTCAATTTGCCCTTCTTTCCCTTGATGGCTACAAGTTCCCCTGATAATACCTCGTAAAGTTTGAGCGGCAACAATGACAGACGTAATGCGAAACTGCAGGTGCCTGAGGGGTTGGCTGCGGACGCTGACCCCTTCAACAATCTTAGCAGCAATGCGGGTCAACAGGCTAATGACATTTAGCTTGCTTCACAGTCATGGTTATAATGATAACACCGGGCTTATCAGACACAGTGTGACAGAGTGTTAAAGCAAACAGGGTGAAATGCCATCAGCAAAATGTCAAAGCYTGACTTGGGTCTCTGAAGAAGCTTAAGAAAATGACTCTTGAGTCCTCAGTTATGTTATAAAATATGAATGTTTATTTTTTGCATTGAGGTAAAACTTGAGCAAACTTGTGAATTTTTACATTTACATTTTTTGATAGCCAGTTTTGGATACATTCAATGTTCTTGTCAATATTAGCCTAAGGGAACAGGGCCATACATATTCTGGGGTTTTAAACTACCAAAATATCCCACATTGATTTAAACTTGGTCTCAGCAGCCTGCAGGATATGCCACYTTTTGCTCTATTGACTTAGGCAAGCAGTATTTCCCATGTTGACCATTTCCGTCCTTGTTACAAGCAGCAGAGCCAATTTAAAGCATAAAACGTTATAAATGGCTTTGGTGCAGTGGCATTATTATTTTTATTGTGTGTTTTGCCTTTAAAACACAGTCCTGTGCTGTAAATGAAAAACTCCATCTGTCATGTGATTTCAGGTGTATTCTTTGACAAATTGACGTAACCTGTCTCACACATTAGCCGTCTCTGTGGTGATCAAGCTTAATGCCAGGGTGTATGGAATGTCTTTTCCACCTGACACTGTTTACCGTAGATACAGTGCATGCAGATGTAAGAATTGAACAGAAAAATGCAGACAAGACGGATGCAAACACCTCATCACCTTGCTGGTCTGTTACGTGCCTCGGGCTACGTTTCCTGGCTTTGCAGCTAATTAGTGTTATTCATCCACCYACTCAATCCAGTGAGCACGAACCCTAATTAACATTAAAAGCGCCTGGAGGCCATCGGACGAGCAGCAGATATCACCGATTTCTCCACAAGACTACTGAGGCGTTTCTGCATTTCCTCTCTTTTCTGTCAACTTTGTGACTTCTAAATAGTTTTTTATTGAACATATTCAGTTAACTTTTATAAACTTTTGCAGGTGAGAAATAAAACTTGAGAATTTTTGACTATGAAGGCTAATGCTCTCATATTTCTTTAGCATCTTCAGACTTTCGAGGGCAACAGGTGAACAAGAAAAACTAACCATTTTAATTAATGGGGGACCTTTTTTATGTGACTGACCAATACAATGAAATTTCAAAGATAGCCTGTTTGTCATCTGTCCAATAAAGAGCAAGAATGCTTCTAAAATTGCTGCAAATMAATCCAGGGACTTACAAAGCAAATCGCCATGCTTTATCTCAAATKATTTCTTCCAATCTGTCTGCTGGAGGTCTCAATGCTCTCAGGACAGCAGTTTGCTCTGGAAGAAAAGCTACAGTAATTAAACAGCTGAGCGATCAGAGAGCGAGGTTATTTTCTCAGATAAACGACTAGTTTTCAAACTGGCTTCTGTAAACACAATCACGATCCAGTCAGACAGCAGATGATGTTAACATTTATTTGTTTCACAACTTGATGATCTCTCAGTCAATCAAAAGGAGTTTGTAAAAAAATTAAATAAGGGCATTATTCTGTCACCATCAAGAAATGTCCAAACCCACACTATTCATTTCAAGATAAACTTCGTCACATAACTGGCATATATTCATTTGAACAAGTGAAAGTGAAACAGGAAGTGACATCAAAGGGGATCTCTTTAAGAAAAGGTACTCCATGGTCTTTATTTATTAAAACAATATTTTTGAACTCTGACTCTTCTTCATCTCTTTCTGAAAGTGACTCAACTAACTAACTCATCTAAATAAATGTCAGATTATTCTCCCCTGTCTGTGCTGTTAGTTATTGTAACGCTGCTCTGTTTACGTTCAGACTTTCCCCGCTGATGTCACTTCCTGTTACTTCACATGCAAATATATCTGTAACTGTTCATCTCAGCGGTGTGATTTATTTATTTTGCAATATGTTATTAATGTTATCTTTCCGAAAATGCATTCATATTTATAATAAAAGTTTAATGTCACAGGCACTTTAAGTTCTTCAGCTTTGTAGCCATCCATCCATCCATCCATCCATCCATCCATCCATCCATCCATCCATCCATCCATCCATCCATCCATCCATCCATCCATCCTCTGCTTTATCGAGAGTCTGGTTGGGGCAGCAGCTTGAGTAAGGAGGCCCATCTTCTCCAGCCAACTCTTCCAGCTCTTCTGGGAGAATTCCAAGGTGTTCCCAGGCCAGCTGAGGGTCACAGTCTCTCCAGCGTGTCCTAGGTCTTTCCTCTGACATGCCTGAAGCTCCTCCCTAGGAAGGCATCCTTACCAGATGCCRGAACCACCTCAARTGGTTCCTCTCGATGTGGAGGAGCAGCGGCCCTACTGAGTCTCTCCCAGATAACTGGTCTTCTCACCCTAAGGGATGGTCCAGCTGGCCAGCAGAGGAAGCTCATTTTGACAGCCTGTATCCGCGATCTCGTTCTTTCATTCACTACTCAAAGTTTGTGGCCATGGGTGAGGGTAGGAACATAGACGACTGGTAAACGGAGAGCAGCTCAGCTCCCTCTTCACCCCAACAGATCGATAGAGTCTGTAAAACTGCAGAAGCTGCACCGATCAGTCTGTCAATCTCACGCTCCATTCCTCCCTCTGTGTAAACATTTATCTCTTTCACAAAATGTTTTTGCCACAGACAAGAACAACAAGCCCCTCAACAATCAGACAGGAGTCTGACTGAATGGAGTTGACATGCATTGATATATAGTTGACATATATATATAT